TACACTCCAACCACACAACCCTTTCATTCTGATTCTTACTATCCTTCATCACATTACCCTTGGGTAAGCGTAAGACGAGGCTCCATTCTTGAATTTATGCTTTTAAATAAAACGCTTGAGGAAATATCTGAATGTTTTAAGGATAGCATTTGTTCCTTCTGTGGAGGAGATCACCATTTATGTCTTTGCCCCATCAAACCTCTATACGACCATCCTTTCCGGGAAACTGCATACCCCACTTCTTCCTCCCCACAATTTACGAACACAAATGTTTCAGTCACTCCTACGTCTTTGCCGAGCTATGAGCCACAGGATGAAGTGGAAGAGATAATTTCAGAGAAGCTGTCTGACCTGGAAGAGACACTAAAGAAATTCATGCAAGTGTCCGATGCAAGTATGCAGAACATGGAGAATCAATTGGGGCAGATTGTAAAAGCTTTATCTGAGGAGTCCGGGAGATCCCATCCTAGCGACACAAAAGTCCAACCTGAGGAGACCAATAGGGATGATCATGTGAGTGAGTCGGACTGCGAAGGTGGGAATATGATGGATGATACACTTCCTGATACCTTTGAAGACCCTCCTATGTTTGAAGATGAAGAAGAAGATAATAGTGTCAAGTTGTTTTTCCAAGAATACAGGAAAAAGTTTGAAACGGTACAAGATGTAACTGATGAAGTCACAAATCACTGTGATCTTCATACACAAACCCCTCAGCCGTTCGATTTATCATTAGTCTCAACACCTGAGGAGGGCAAGGAGAAGATCAGTCATGATGATGGTGCTACTGAGGTAGGTTTGGGTATTGAAGCTGAGTTGAGAAAAGATGATTACATGCTCCGAGAGAGTGAGGGTGAGTTACATGATGTTCATAATGAAGAAGTCCCGCTCCATAAGCAAGAATTCCCCTCATGTACACATGCACCGATCCACTCTTACGAGGTTTCAGATTTGGATTTCTTTGATTCACTCCTTGATGATGATATTTCTGTTTGTGTGGAGAATGACAACATCATCCGGGAAGTTATTGATAAGAACGATGTTAACGAGAGTTGGGATGCCTTCATGGGGAGTGATACAGAGTCCAGAGGAGAGGTTGTGAATTTTCATGATATTTGTGAGGAAGAAGAAAATTTTTCTATGGTGGAGTTTGATTACGGTGTTGCTCCTACTCCTTGCTTGGAGACATGTTTTGAGCTTCCAGTGACACCTAGAGTAATCAAAGTTTTCATTCATGTTCCATATCCACCTGAAGAGGATGAGAGTTTCATACTTCACTTCTGTGCAGATGAGGGTTATGAAGACCATGTGCCGCCTACACATATTCGAGAATTTAAGGATCCGCGACACCTACTGGCATTTGTTGAGAGGAAGCTGGAGACATTGATTATTAGTGCACCACTGCAGTCTTTGCTATTTGAGAGCGTATGAGGAAGTTGCGTCGGGCAAACGACGTTAAAAATAGCGCTTCTTGGGAGGCAACCCAAGCTTATTTCTGCATTTTTTTGTTTCTTTGTTTGTTTTCTTTCAGAAAACCCCCGGAAAAAAAACCAAAAAAAAAAATCTGGGGTGTTTTTTTGGGTTTGTTTTTGTGTTTGTGTGATTTGTTTTTGCAGCTCAGGGTCTTGCTTTGGGGATGATGTGCCGAGGATCACTTGACTCAGTTTAGTTCTGCACCGACCAACGCCTTAGGGAAGAATCTGTGACTCTAATAATCGCCTGTTTGTAATAATTGACTTGAGTTAAGTTGAGCACGCGTGACCCTATCCTCTTTACCCCCTTGTGCATAGTGCATTTTTTTTGTCATCGAGGACGATGCCAAAGTTTAAGTGTGGGGGAGTGAATTGGGCATTCGGGCAGTAGTTGTTACATGTGATTATTAGAGTTAGCATGCACAGGTGTTAGTTGTATATTCATAGAAAATTCATGTCAAAATTTTTGAAATTTTTTCTTTAAACTGTGTCTTTGTGAGCTGGCTAGCGTTTTGACTATGTTTTTAGGACATCTTTGAAGTGTTTAGGCTTAAATTGCTTGCACTATAATCTAGTTGTTGAAAGGATGAAGGCATTAGTCACCCATTGAATTTTCCATTAATCATCTACCCCACCTAAAAAAATCCTTTAGGAGAAGCCACTTTGAGCCTGACCATTTATTGTTACCCGAATTAATTGAGCTCCATAGCCAAATGGCCTGTGTTCCTTACCGGTGAATATTTCTGACTTAGTCTTGATGTTTAAGGAATTAGGGGATTAATTTGCTAAGTTTAGGGAATTTGTGTAGGAGCCATTTTTGGCACTGTTTCTATGCCCAAATGGGGTAAGAGCAGTCACTTTATAGGAATTTGATATTTTCGAGGATTGCATTGTAGGCATGGATTCACTTTTAAATAAATGAACCTTAATTGCTATTTTTCCTTGGTGAAGCCGAGATTAGAATGGGGTAATGTCTAGTGAGAATCCGAAAGGTGAAAAATTAATATAACTAGACCTTTTGCCTTACGAAAAAGAGAATGGGAGCCCCGGTCAAAAAGCGTAAGATGAGACTTGGGTATCTTTCGAAAGAAACGGCGTTCTCGTGCCAACATGACAAAGAAAACTAAACATAATTAATGAACTTGGAGGCTATTGAAATTTAGCTTTAGTCCTCCGTGTACTTCAAGTATACGTCAAAGCACCAATGTGCCGAGACGGTTTAGCTTAGTTGTACACCATGTCTACTCTTTGCATAGGTTTAAATGATTGTTCCTAAAATGTGGCCTACTAAGTTCCTTGATCCTAAGAATAGCCCTGAAGTTCCTGAATACATTAAGTCTTTGTTAGAATGTTCCAATCTCTCAAAGAAAGGGGCTGTTACTTGTTATCCATTGACCATTCACCACCGCCTTCACAAGTCCTTCTGATCGGGAGCTAGTTTATTATAGCTTGCTGTCACTACTTTGAGGATGTTGTGAATAATTTTGTCAAATAGTTTAGCTTGAGTACAAAGATGTAGTTTAGGGAAGAATTTTCTTGATTTAAATTGTCTGTTCTGTGAATATCCCTTTAGCTATGTGTGCATGCTAATTGTTTTAATTCCGTGTGGTGATTATCGTAAGTCCCGTTGTTCAGTTTGCTTGAGGACAAGCAAAGACTTAAGTGTGGGGGAATCTGATGAGTCCGTATTTAGACACACATTTGATGCGTGTTGATATCGGCTTTTGATGTTTTTCCTAGCTTTAAGGTGTTACAAGTCTCAATTTTAGCTCAAGTTATGTTTAACAGGCGCTGGTTCGAGTTTTGTGTCATTTGGAGTAAAAATCAGGATTTTAGAGTTCGGCACTGGCGCTTGAGGAGAAATCGGGATGAGTTGAGATTCATTCGAGAGTGGATTGAGAGCTTTGGAGGTCACCGGGAGGTTCACGATGAATATTTGATGACAAAAGAGCTCTAGGATTGGCTATGGGATCAAAAGAAGATGAATGAAGCTGGAAAACGACGATCAGGATGACCTTTGGTCAATCGTTCAAGCATATCTCTTTTTATAAGCATCCAAAGGACACGATTCAAGTTTCATATGAAAGCCAACTTCAAGGGCTACAAATCATATGAAGACATCGTTCCGAGAATCTGAGAGGATCAAGGTGAAAACAGATGATGAAGTCAGATGATCTCTGCTGCGATTTCAGAATGACACCTTCCACCATTTTGGTCATATCTCGTGATTGGATGATTCAAATCACATTCGGCAAGTTGGGGTGGATAGAGGACTTCATTATCTACAACTTTCATGAAGGAAGTTTTGTCAAATTCGGACTAGAAAAAAGGCTGAAGAGCACGGACGCACGACCGTGCGTAAAAGGACGCACGATCGTGCGTAAGAGCCAAAAACGCGGCAACAAATCTGCCTGCTACGCACGATCGTGCGTGGCAAGGTACGCACGATCATGCGTACACCCGAGACGCGGATTTCAGCCCCTTTTTAGTCCCAGTTCAGCCCAAACTCATCTGTTTTCTATAAATAAGACCCCCATACCCATTTTTTGACGTTACGAACATTACGGAGAGGCCTAGGGACGAATTTAACACCGTTTTTACGCTATTTTCTTCCAAGACTCTGGGATTATTTGTAAGTTCATCTTTTTAATTAATGACAATTTATTCTATTCATCTCAATTCTGTTGATTCTTCAATTATGAATTGTGAGTAGTTTAATTAGGGATTTGGGATTGATGAAGGGGTTAATCATGATGTATGGCTAGATTCTTGTCGGTTTAATTGCATGAATGCCGTTTAATTTGTGTATGAATAATTTAATTGATATCTCTTGTAACCTAGATGGCCACTAGAATTACAATTGCTTATAGAATAAATTAAGAGAGATCTAATTTGTTCTAGGACACATTCACACACACTTAATCGTTCGCTAAGAGATTAGTAGCGATTAAGGGGCCGTAAGCTCGCTCGTCTTGGCAATAATTTAGGATCTTGTCGCATGAGAGATCAGCCTGGTCCCCTAAATTATTGTACTCTACGCCGCGAGAGCGGTAAGAACTTAGTAATGATTAGCTAGGCTCAATTAAATTAAATTCATGTAATTAAGCCTGATCTGCCAGAAATCTGGTTACCCCGGAATCAATCCCTGTTCCCTTCGTCGTTAATTGAGAAGAAACCACTTTTATTTTAATCGTTCATTCGCATTAGTTTAATTTTTTTCCAAACCAACCAATCTCGCACGACGCTTTTATTTTATTTTCTTTTTAATCGCTGAATTTAATTAATTCTTGATTCCCTTTTGTCCGTCCCTGTGGAGACGATACTCGTACTTACACCACTATATTACGATCTATTTTAAGTGCGAGAAAACACACATCACACGGCCACGGAATTTTGATTTTATATTGCCAAGGATGTGAAACACACAGTACCCATGTTCTGCATGAGGAAAGACTACACGAACTGCATTTAAAATCCCCTCATGACGATCCGACATAACATATAAATCATCCCTATGTTTAAGAGACTGTTTTAGCATTGTAAAAAACCATGTCCAATTAACTGTGTTTTCAACACTACAAATAGCAAATGCAAGAGGAAAGATTTGTTTGTTTGCGTCTTGGGTGCATGCGGTCAGTAAAGTTCCCTTGTAATACGACTTCAGAAAAGAGCCGTCAACAATCATTACGGGAAAGCAATGCTCCCATCCCGACTGCCATGCATGAAGAGACATAAAAAAATATTCAAAATCTCCGTTTTCTTTGCACGAATATGACACAACAGAACCTGGATTTGCTGATCTCAACATATGACATAAAGAAGGGAGTCTACTGTACGACTCTTTTTCGGATCCCATTGCCAGTTTCATTGCGAGTTCCCTAGCAAACCAAGCCTTTTTGTATGTCATGTAGACGCCATACATTCTCTTCATGTCATCCATTATTGCTTGAGGCAGGTAATGTTTTCTATCGGCGTCACCGTAATGATGTTTGATAAGCTCCACAATTAGGGATGAAGTAGCTTGGCGACTATTGGCTTGCCTAACATCAATTGAACATGTATGCTTATGATCAAACCTGCCAAAATTATATGTTCAAATTACAACAGACAAAACAAAAAAGGGTGTAAAATTTAGTTCAATGAAGTAACTAGTGTGCACAAAATGAATAAAAACAACAACCTCTTAATTTGAAACAAACCACTGTCATCCAATCTCATGCCACGAACTGACCATTTGCAATTTCCCCCCAAACAAACAACGAGCAACACTGTTGGCGATGATGATTTGGTTCTATATTGGAAAAAATTGACGATAGCATACATCTTCAACTTTAAAGATAACTCTTTCTTAGATGTGAAAATAGCATTCATTGCTATTTGAGTTGGTGCAGAATGTGATTCAGAAGATGGAATGACACCATCTTCAGATGCAGACTGAGTAATATAAGAATCCTCTTCATACTCATTAAAACAAGATTCATTCAAAAAAGATTCATCACTGGAAGACTCGTGTGAGTATTCATCATTGGACGGGACTACGGGTTCATTATCAACAGCAAATTCCTGAGCATCTCCAAAGGCTTCCAAATGTTCAATGATATTATGATCTAAAAAATCCAAATACGACAGAATCATTGCAATAAAACAATGTGACAGAATCCAAATATGACAAAAACATTGCAATAAAACCTAAACTTACCTTGTCTATCACCAACGATCTCCACGCACAAAGGAAGCTTGTTAACATCCGCTTGAAGAGTCTTCATTTGAATATAAAACAACAAAGTACTGTCATCATGGACAACAACAGGAGGAGGGCAGGGCTCAAAAACATAGGAAATGCGAATGAGTTTATTTGTGTAGTTTTCACCTAAGGAATTATACACAATTTCGCACAACGAAGAAAATGATGAATGCAAGGGATGTCAATGAAAACAACATATGAACTATTGAAACATATGTTAGACAACTATTGATCATCTAACTTTAACATGACTGGAACTATTGAACACGATTGAGAAAGGGGAACGGAATCCATGAGTGTTGCAAACGAAAAATGGAATAAAGAGATGGAATGGTAGAAGACGGACGAAAACGAATAAGGAAGGAGAAACGTATAATTACCTTACGTATAGGGGAATAAACATGGAAAGCGGTTACCTTACCTTATGGAGTGGTCTCTTCATCGGCAAAAAAAGCGTAAACTTACTATCCGATTACTGCTTTCAGGATTTACTCAGGAGGGCAAAAATGGAACGTATTTTTTTCATTAAATTAACGCAGGATGGTAATCGATGGTATGAGATATCATTTTGGGGAAAAAAGGATTGAACTCATAGACTGGAAAACACATAAACTTCTAGTCATATGGGGGGTCATTTTTCGAATAACTTTGTACTTCACATGCTTTCTTTTACCTTGCTAATTGTGCACATACTATACTTCACTCCTTACTTTTCATTCTTTAGTTTAGATGTTCTCTAGTAAACAACAGTTAGGGGGCAAACTTTTTAAAAGTTATAAATTTTAGTTACTATAGTAGTTATACACTATTCATGTACTCTACTTTGACAATATTTTATTTATTAATGTATGTGAATTATTTTTTTTTGAAAAATATTGTTGAATTCGTCTCATTACGTACGAAGTGTCATAATCTGATTTGTAAAAGTTTTTTACTAATAGAGAATTAAATATGATGACGGTCAAATTTGTGCATTGGTAAGCATGAAAAAGGGAATGTTGCAATTAAAAAGAACGGAAGAAGTATATAAAAATGGATTAAAATATAAAAACACTTTAGTTGTTTGGTAAAAAATGAATCTTTCAAAAATCTTCAACTAAAATCCTATAAGACTTATACTGTAGAACTTGAATTTACTTTATCACAACATAAAATGGTTCACAAAAGTAATTCTTATTTATATATGTTCAGATTTACAAAGCTTATATATATTTATTACTGTAGTAAACATTAAAAATTGAATCAAATATACAATTTTGATTTTTAGAACTCACATATTATATATGTATACTCCGTATTACTCCGTATATATTATCAGATTTACGTACACAACTTATATTTATTATTATTACGGTAATAAACATTACAACTGAATCAAATATATACAATAATTTTGATTCGTTGAACTCAACTCATATACGGAGTATTATTTATGTGTGTATATATAATTAAACATTAAAAATGAATCCGATATACAGTTTTGATTCATTGAACTCACATGTATATATTATATTTATTTATATATACACTTATATATTATTATTTATTTATATTATATTAGAGAGGAGTAATGAGATACAACGTACCCGAAATTGTTTTACTGAAACATACTATCGTATTAAGGGAGTGTTTGCAACTGCTTCTGCTAAAAAAAAAGCACTTTTGGAGATGTAAGGAAAAAGTGATTAGTAGGAAAAGTTGATAGTGTTTGAGAAAAAAGTGATTTTGAAAAGTAAAAGTTGATAGTGTTTGGTAAAATAAGTGCTTTTTGTGTAATAGAAAGGGGAAAAGCACTTTTCACACGCAAGCCGAGAAAAAGTAAAAATTGGTAGTGTTTGGTAAATAAGTGCTTTTTTAAGCCAAAAGCTGAGAAGTGCTTTTTTTTAAGTGATTGCAAACACTCCCTAAGATGTGCAGAAATAATACGGAATACTTGTATATAATACGGAGTAAATCTTTATGTACTTCAAAACATTTATCTTTTATGGTGGTTGTTAAGGATCAATAACTCACTTCCCAGTCTCATTCACAGGCAGTAGGACGTAGGGCCGGTCCTGGGGCATGTGCAGGAGGGCATGCGCCCAGGGCCCTTTGCTCTAGTAGGGTCCATAAATTTCTCAAACATATATTTGTACATAAATAAATAAATATTTTAATTATATATACATCCTAAATCTATAAAAAAAATAAAAAATAAAATCAAACTTATATTTTTAGATACTTCTAATTTGTTATTTATCATCTACACGATACAAGTCTATAATTTAGAAACATCCACATTAGAATTCGTTGGGAACATATTTCACCATTTCTTTTGAATCATTACGGATGATTATATTAAATTTAACCTTTTAGTGACTTAGTGTACATGTCTTATGTATATCCACAATTCATTGATGTATTTCCCAAATCTCCTCCAATTCTCTCTTTAGTGAAAGATTGAACTTTAGTGTCCATGATTTAGAAACTTAGAATTTGTTTTTCTCTAGTGAAAATGTGATTTAAAATATGAAAAAGTTACTCCTTATACAAGATACTAGTATAACTTTCACAACTTTATTTAATTCAAAATTTTTATTGTGCCTAATAAATAGTTGCAATACTTGTTTCACTCGGCTGTTAGGTACATTCTATCATCGAATGTCACTTATCAATACCCTCTATATATATTTTCTAACCATATGCTTTGTTGGTTTTTTGATGTGTTATACTAGTATTTTGACAGTAATATTGTATAATTTTTAATTATACTAGTAGATTTTTATAGCAAAAAGAACATTATAAACATTCCCGCGCTATCCCTGAGGCCCAACCTATTTGTATTGTCCCGGACCCATAAAATGTCAGGACCGGACCTGGCAGGACAACGGTTGTCAGATTTTTTTTGTCGTTTTTCTCATACTCTAAATTATGTGTTATCAATATAAGTCGAATTCTTCCAAAAAATGATCAATAATTCACTAAATATGATGCGTGCCATCATAGCGATATTACTCCGCTCCCTGCATTCCAAATTTCCAACTATGTATCTTTTTTACAAGCATGCTTGTTGTACCCACCACTTTGTACCCACCTTATACCCACCTCTATGAAGGTTATTTTTTTGTCTGTGAAGTCGGTTCACAGACAAAATATGTCTTTGAATTCCTTCACAGACATATTTTGTCTGTGAAGGAATTCATAGACAAAAAAATAACTTCACAAACATGGGTGGGTACAAAAGTGGATATAAAAGTGGGTACAAACATCATTTTCCTCTTTTTTAAGTTTGGCTAAATTATAATGAAGTGGTTAAAGAATAAAGTTGTCATTGAATTTTGATTAATTAGAATAGAGTAATTTAACTAATATGAACAATATAACAGAACGTACTTTATCCTTAGGGTTCCACACATGGGGAATGGCTGCCGCCATGGCAGTTCTTTTCTCTTCGCATGGAAAATCCAAGATGAATTGCCTTACTCGGCAGAACGCCGTCGAGCAATGGACTGCAAGATTCTCTCTAGGGTTCGCTTCCAGGTGCTACCGCTAGAGCCGTTTGTTCCCTATCGGCTTGCGCTGAGGAGCGGGGCCGATTTCGGCCATTCTTTTTGTAATAGTCCAGATCTAACATACATCAAGGGGATGCAGCAAGCAAGAGGGCAGCCGGGATATTGGCAATGTAGCCACGGATCAGGTGTTGACAGATTTGTTTCCGGCCCTCGGCAAGGGTGATGAATAGACGGGGAGCGATGAAGTGCTGATCAAGGGAGAATACAGATCAGCGGTCCGCCCCCCTCCTGAACCGCCGCCTTGGATTGATCGAGATATCGGGGTTTGGAAGATGATTTTTCAAGAAAACATTCAGAAGGAAGTTTGGAGTATTCGTCAGTTATTCTAATTTTTATGGTCTTATTCTCGTGTTAGGTTTGCTTACGGCGTTTCGTTTTTTATTCAGAACTTTAGTTTTAAGTCTACAATAGTGATTGTCAATTCTGCTAGATATTATATCATTAGAAGAATCTATATGACCAGTGATTGCTGTGTCACACCCGCTTGGTGGTTAACGATTCGTATTGCTCTTTCAAGGATGATCGTCTCAGAGTCTAGCCGTAGGGTTGTTTGTAAATGTTGGTTAGAAATAGTTTTTGTCAAGGTTGGTCTTTTTGAGTTTATGATAACGATCCGTCCCTAATGGTTTTAATATAGTTGTTGGATTTGATGATATAAAAAAAAACTAAAATGAACAATATATTTCCCCAAAAAACAAAACGGACGTTTGTTTGGAAACATCTCAAAAAGCAAAATAAGACACATAATTGTGGACAAATATATAGGGATGTTGGATCTATATACTTTTTAAAAGGGAAAACTGCCAAATAGGTCCTTGTACTATAGAGAAAAAGTCAATTAAGTCCTCGTACTATTAAAACACTCAATCAAATCACTGAACTATAAAAAAACACCCAATTTTCCCCTTTAACAGGTTACTTCTCCCATTTACCGGTTGCCACCGGTGTGTATGCCCATGTAGAGACTAGTCAACTTAAATCCCTACCACTGTTCATCTTCCCCACATGCATCTCTTCCAGACCACCTACATCTCCGATTTTGACACACATCTTTCTCGCTCTGTAGTTTTCTTCCATGGAACAGAACTTCATCAACATCATGTTTCACTTGGATTGGAAAACGTATGAGGGCAGGAGACTTCTTCATCATCATCCCTCTGATTTGATAGAAGAAGAAGGGGTACAGTACAATCGGAAAGGCAAAGCTCGAACTTGAAAAAGGGGACGAGTCAGAGGAGCATCCCAGCGAAGAAATCCATACGGCGAAGCAGACGAGCAACGACGGTAGGGCTTGGAATGACCGAATGACGCTGAAGACGAAGATTGCCGCTAAACAAAGTCCATGAAGAAGAGAGTAAACTGGGAGAGAGAATGGAGGAGGAAGGATGAAAGTGGATGTTGGGTGTGTATTTCAGCTCAGGTCTCCAACCAGAACAACTCACACACACCACCCCAGGATTGTTTAGCCACTCCACCACTCACCAAATTTAGCCACACTCTTTTTCACCTCTCAAGCTCACACAGAGGACAAGGGAAGAAGAAGGACTATACTCTAACTCTCTCTGGTTACTCACACAAAGGAGGAGATACACTCTCAATAGCTATTGCCCACTAGTTTTACGCCTCACTCACACAAAAGAGGAAGTCAACTCTCTCATACTCACTGGCCACAATTATATGGAGCTCAAAAAAGATGCTTTCCTAATCAAGTGAGTCACATGTCTAAGAAAGACAAAACAAGGGGAGCCCAAACAAAGGCAGAAGATAGAATAGCAACGGGCAGAACAATAACAAGGCCATGTGATTAGGTAGTGAACAAACCAAGAGGAAATAATAGGAGTATGGCTAAACTTAGGGTGCAGGCCTTAACACGAATAAGTGGAAGGGAGGCCTTGGCAGGACCAATACCTCCAACATTCTCCACCTTATTGGTCCTATGTGGTGTAGAGTAACAAATACACGGTTGTGAGGAGACTCATCATCGCTGAACCATTACAAGTACATCGTTGCGATCATACAAGTAATAGATGAGAACCAAAGTTCCCTTTCGGACCAAGCTTACCGTGCAAACCCACTTCACGATGGACTGAACTCTACCAATCGGTCCTCGAGTTCAGAACCAAAACCATCACAAAACTATTAACAAGCACAACACATGTTAATAGACCACGCAAGCAAGCATCCGGGAGAAGTTGGGGATTCCAACTAATCCAACAACCACACAAAGCAAGTACACAGAAAATAAAAGAAACAGTATTATTTCTATAACTAGCACATTTATCACTTGGTATCACATTTTCAAAACACACAGAAAATAGCATACCAAATATCACAAAGATTTTAATTAAAAGAGAATTAAGCACATTTAAAGCAGACTCAGAGGAAATATAGTCAAACACATTGCACATATTATTTCTCACATGCTTCCTTATGTCTCTATCTCTAATAACATGGCAATCACGCAACTCAAGCATATTGCACACAACATTCATATCATGCTCCACCTTAATAGAAATATTATTTTCTTTATTTTCAACATGAAAATCATTTTCATCCACAAATTTGGGTTCGATTTCAACAAGTAAATCGGAATGAACATCAGGCAAATGAGATTCAACAGGCAAATGCTCCACCTCATTTGGAGCAACATCAGGAGAAACAAGCAGGCAAGGAAATTCATTTTCAACAAAAATGACATTTCTACTCATCAACACATTGAAGCAAGTTTCACTCCTACACCAAAGCCTATAACCTTTCATGCAATCATGCACTACAACAAAAATCATTTATAGAGGCAATGCTTTGAGGCTATTTGCCTCTAAAACACCTTTTTAGCATCATATAATTTTGGTTGCCTCTAATCTTATAAGCTCTCAATAGATTTGAGGCAACCAAATGTTTTTTGTCTCTAAAAGGTATTATTTGCGGCAAACTTTTTTGCGCTGCCTCTAAATGCTTGTTGCAAAAGTGTAGTTGCCTCTAAAAGGTGTTATTTGAATCGGCCTTTTAAGGTGCCTCTAAAAGGTTGTTGCAAAAAGTATGTCGCCTCTAAAACATTGCTTCAAAACATTTGAGTCAATCCAATTAAATTTCATGCTACTAAAAAAGATGTACTTTGTACTTAGTAGTATTTCGATCATCGCTCACTCTAAACTCTTTTTATTTTTTTACTTCAAATGTTTTAATCCCATTAACATTCCCCCCTACACAGGATGTTTTCTTCTTCTTTTCGAACTCCATCCCTTAGACTCGCGCTCTCTTCTTCTTTTCGGAAAAAATAGCGGCCAACACCACGTATTGACATGACAGAGGCGGCCCTTGGGGGACAGCAGGGGCAAGGGGTCTTAAGCCTAAAAAACGATTTTTTTAGACCCAATATTTATTTTTGCATAATATACCGAAATAACTTTGACATCTTTCAATTTTTTGGTCAACCAAATTTAACTTTGACCAATTATACTCCATATATTTTTATAGGAAATCGTTTATAACATAAAAATCAAATATAAATGTTCTTTGTTTAAAGTACTTTCACAAACAATAAAATAAAGGCTAAAGGGTCAAATAGGCCCTTGAACTGACTTAAAGTGTTCAATTAGCCCTTTATATAGGAGGTTCTGCCTGGCCGTCATCAATTGGGCGGTTCCCGGTGGAATTATTTGATGAAATTTTTTAAGCATCTTCTTCATTAAGTCTAGTTTACACATACCAAATTTCAGCTAAAAATTCAACCGGGAAGGCAGTCAAATGATTTTCCGAAATGTACTGCTCAGTCAAAAATTAACTTCGCAGTTACCTTCAAAAAATCATTTGACTGCCTTCCCGGTTGAACTTTTAGCTGAAATTTGGTATGAGTAAACTAGACTTAATGAAGGAGATTCTAAAAACATTTCATTAAAAAAATCCACCGGGAACCGCCCCAATTGACGACGGTCGGGCGGAACCTCCTATATAAGGGGCTAATTGAACATTTAACTCAGTTCAAGGGCCTATTTGACCCTTTAGCCTAAAATAAATAGTTTCCAAAATAGTATAATAATCAAAATCATATTCAAAAGTCAAAATGACAAAATTTTAAGAGACCAAGGTAATATGTGAATAGATATTTTTCAACCTTAGTTTAAAAGTTACTCCGTATATCCAGCCCAAAATTAGGAAAAGGCTTACCAGGCTGAGTATCCTAAAATTTGGAGTAATAAGTGTCGTATACTCTTCTAATTGGAGACTTGGAGTAACCCAAATTGTTTAGGACTCAAGAAAAGTCACCACCGAGCAGAGAGGATATCGACACTCGACATCCACCGATCCACACAAATCGACGAACGCCTGCAAGGCCGCAAGTCGCCGACACTCCTCCCTTCCGGCTTCCGCCTCTTTGCCCTTCTGGTGCAGTGGTGAGTGGTGCGCTGCACGCCTACACGCAGGTGACACACTGACGCCGCACCCCTCTTGACGATTCCCTCCTCAATTCTCAGTTTCTCCCCTCCGGACCTTCAGGTACTTCGTACTCTTCCTTATGCAGTAATTCCTTAACTCTTTAATTGATTAGTTCTTTAACTCATGGTTGTTAATAAATTTTAAATTATAAATGATTAGTTGATTTAAGGATTTGTTATGTGTTGATTAAATATTACTCCGTAGTTTCATATTCATAGATGTTGATTGTTAATTTGTTATCTATTGATTTGTTCTCTTGTTGATGTTACCGACTGGCAGAGTTGAGTAGTTCATTGATGTTGCTCATTGTTGTTGACTAATTGATTTTTAATACTTTAGTAAAGTTTCAGTTATGCAACTAAATTTGAATTTTGTGTTTGTTATAATTTGTTTAGTAATTTCTTTGAATCTTAGTTAAATTTATACAATGTGTTTAAGTTATATTTTATAATTTTTTATTTTGAAATTTTGATTCTACTATGTTAAATTTATTGAACACATGTCGATCTCTTTAGACGTTTGATGATCTCTTCTTCTCTGCGTTGGATGATTCGATCACCTTGCTCCATATCCAGGTATTGTAGCCTCTGCACTATGTTGTTCCTTATTATTTTCATAACCCCCACTCTAAAGTTGTTTATTAGGAGGAAGTGTCGAGCTCGCGTACAGGACCCTGAGCCGATCAGATGCGTCTCACACTCTCACCTTACTTTCATCTCCTTTAACCTCACCGGCAAGTACTATATTGGCTATCTGCTATCATTAGCTAGATTTTTAAATTTTAACTCCATGATACACTATTTGACCTAATTAGTCTATATTTCACCTAAAAATCTCTGCTGGCCCGATTGCATGAATGATTATTGACTTTTTTGATTATTTGGGTGTATTTTCATGGGTTCAGGTGCACCTCCAAGATTATATGAATTTTAGTCAACTAAGTACTCTAACAATCCTGCCATTATCCTTATCCTTCTTCAAGAACTGCAAACGAATGAAGGTATGTAATGTTTTAGATGTTTTTTTGTTCAGTTTTTTCTTCTTATTGCTGGCTTTTTTGGATATCCTTAATTTTTTATGGTTCAATAAAGCTTAAATTGTATTTTTAAAATTATATAAAAAAAAGTAACTCTAATCTGCTTGTGCAACAGCAGAACCATGGCACAAAGATTACCAGAAGGAACCTTTTGCAAGGGTTTCAATACACAAAAACATGGTTAAGTGAGCTGCCTTGTCTCATCACTAAACTTGGAAATAACAAACCATTGAGGTGAACTGCCAGGCTCTCTTAATTATAGATATCCAAATTATATAGAAGGATGGCTGACTTTTCACTGTTTAGTACCACCACCAATAATTTCCTTCACTCCGTTAATCTGCTCTTTTTCCTTCCATTGCAGCCATGACTAACAGTATAAGACGACCCCCCTGCAAATCCCTCTTTGAGCTGCTTGAGCAGATTCTGATCAGTGGGAAGCTTCAGTTCATCTTTGGTACTTCCACTTTCTGTTAGAATAGAGACGAAATGATAGACTCCAAAAATTGACTGTAAATTCTGTGTATTACTATAGAACGTCTGAGAATTACAGTGGCAGAAAGCAAAGGAAAACAGAGAAGTAATTGGGGTGTAGGCCTACTCACTATCATCTTTAGGCTGGTTTGTTAGCTGAATGGCAACACTCTGCTTACAAATCCATGTACGAAGTGCTTTTAGTTTTTTGCTCAGTTTATTGGTTTATGTTTAGTTTTTCAAATGATGGATTTGCAGTTCTGCATCAAAATGGTCACCCAATGTGGATCTTTCTATTACATTTGGCACTTCAACCTTTGCTCTTGGTGCTGAAGCTGGCTGTGAAACCTCTTCACGCAAACTGATTAAGTACGCTGGAGCAAACATAGAGGAATATTGAAAGCAAACGTGGAGCAAAGCAAAAGGCGAGGAGATATAGAATATGAATTGGTGTTAAAATAGCTATAGCTTCAAATAATTGAAAGTTATACTCATTGTGTATATATAGTGTGGGGAAGCAACTTATGAAATTACATTGTTGAAGATTTGAATACTTCCATTTATATATAACTCCAAAAATTGTGTTGAATAAAATATATTGTTTTGGATTTATAGGATACTACAAGCCTTATATTATGTGTATGCAAGTATAAATGTCAAAATATTAGGGCCTGTTTACTAACAGAGATATTTTCCTGTTTTCTACTTCTGTTTTTCGTTCTCCAATTTTCTGTTTTTATTTTTCAGTTTTTCTATCTCCAATTTTCTGTTTCTATTTTTTAGTTTTCCATTTTCAAATTTGAAAACATGTTCATCAATTTTTTCACACAGTTCTCCAATTCCACACCCTTGACCCCTACCTCTACCCTTACCACGATCTTACACTCTACCCATACTCCACCACAACCCTTCATACCCACCCATACCTACTCGTAGGGGTCGGGTAGGGAAGTTATGGGTGGGGGTGGGGTAAGGGGTATGGTCGGGGTGGGGTGGTAAGGTCTAGGGGTAGGGGTTGGGTGGGGGGTAGTGGGTGGGTTAGGGTCGTGGTTAGGGTTAAGGGTTGGGTAGTGGGTAGGGTTGGGGTAAGGTAGGGGTAGGGTAGGGAGTTGGGATAGGATGGCGGCAGGGTGGGGTCGGGACCAGGGTGAGGCCGGGGTAGGGAAGGGGTAGGGTGGGGGTAGGATGGCGGTAAGGGTGGGGGTAGTGGGTGGGGTTTGGGGTTGGGGTAAGGTAGGGGTAGAGTAGGGAGTTGGGATATGATGGCGGTAGGGTGGGGTCGGGACCAGGGTGGGGCTGGGGTAGGGAAAGGGTAGGATGGCGGTGGGGGTAGGATGGTGGTAAGGGTGGGGTAGTGGGTAGGGTTGGGGTAAGGTAGGGGTAGGGTAGGGAATTGGGATAGGATGGCGGTAGGGTGGGCCCGGGATGCGGGTGGGGCCGAGGTAGGGTAAGGTGGGTGGCGGTAGGGTAGGGTGGATCGAGGTGGGGTCGAGGTGGTAGGGGGTGGCGGTAGGGTAGGGTGGATCGGGGTGGGGCCGAGGTCGGGGCATGTGGTGGGGGGTGGGGTAAGGTCATTATAGGGAAAAATGGGTACGCGCGGTGGGGGTTGGGTGGGGTAGGGTAGGGGTAAGGGGTAAGGTACGAGGATGGAGGTACTGGAATGTAATCGACATCGGAGTGGGACCGGACCCACCACTAGGTGTAAGTATGCAAATTCATTGCAAAGGCACTGTAGCATCTGCGTTTTCCAAATTTGGAAAACTAGTAAAAGTCACTTCTCCAAATCATTAAGGAAAAGAGAGACATGTTTCATTTTTTCCGTTTTGGAAAACGATTTGGTAAACGCGTTTTTCTTTTTTCCTTTCTCCAGTTTTCCAGGAATATCTTTGGTAAACACGTTTCCTGTTTTCTGTTTTCCAGTTTTCTAGTTTTCTGGAAAACTGGAAAATATTTCTGTTAGTAAACAGGCCCTTAGATTTCTATCAGTAATAATTTATGCTTGAGTCACTATTATCCAAATTGTTTTAGCATCAAGATGTGGTTGCCCCTAAAACATTAATAACAAAGAATGCATTGCCACTAGATCAAGGTTGCTTCTAATTATATTTTGAGACAATATAATTTAGTTGCCTCAAATTATATTTTGGGACAATATAATATGGTTGCCTCAAATAATATTTTGGGACAATATAATAGGTTGTCTCTAATGATGTTTTGGGACAAGATAGATGGTTGCCTCTAAACGTGCATCATTTAGAGTCACATCTCTAGTTGCCTCTAAAGATACCTTTAGAGGCAACTATCATTTAGGGACGGATTAATTAGAGACACCCTAGAGGCAACCAAAAAATTGCCTCTAATAATATTTAGAGGCTACTTCCCTATATATAGAGGCAACTTTATCCCGCCTCTACAAACCATTTTTCTTGTAGTGATGATATCCTAAGAAAACATATTCCTTAGTCCTAGGTTCAGATTTATCATTCACACGATTCACATAAGCAGCACAACCGAACACTCTCAAATTTGGCAAATTAAGTGGTTTGCCCATGAACACAGATTCAGGGCATTTCCCTCCTAAGGGAACAGACGGGGACAGATTAATCAAATCAACAGCATAACAAATAGCTTCCCCCCAGAACTTATTAGAGAGCCCAGATGAAGCTAACATAGCCCTCACCCTCTCTAATAAAGTTCTAACCATCCTCTCAGCAACCCCATCCGGTTGGGGTGTGGAGGGAACAGATTTATGCATAGAAATACCCCAAGTATCACATAAATCACCAAGCTGACTATCACAGAAATCAAAACTGACAGTGGTCCTTAAAAAATTAATTTTCTTACCGGTTTGTTTTTCAACAAGGGTTTTCCAGTTTTTAAACTTATCAAAAACTTCAGATTTATTCTCAATCAACAAAACCCACACTTTCTTTGAAAAATCATCAATCAGTGTCAGAAAATAATTTTTCCCACCATGAGTGGAAACACCATAAGGACCCCACAAGTCAGCATGAATACAATCAAGCACATTAGTACACTTAGGCAGATCAGGAAAACCAACTCTAGACTGTTTTCCTAGCACACAGGGTTGCACACAATTCACAGAATCAAGTAGGGGTTCAGCATGACAAACATACAAGTTGTTTTTCATCTCAGCTTTGAAAACAACTAAACAACCCTTCACAACTTTCATGATTCCCTTTCCCCATTTTCCCTTCAAACCCTCATTTTCAAGAGAAGCACAAGATAGCAAATTACAGCATAGCTCAGGAACATGCCTAACATTCTTCAAAGTAAGCACATAACCAGAAGAAAACCTAAGGCATACATTTCCTATTCCTAGCACATTGCATTTCTTCTTATTTGCTAAAGACACAAAGCCATGCTCAATTTCTCTATAGTTTGAAAAAACATTTTTCAAAGGGGACATGTGAAAACTACAACCAGAATCTACCACCCAATCTGATTTACCCAAAGAATCAGATATCACAGAACTCAAATAGTCATAATCACATAGATTTTTCATCATAAGCACATCACCTAAATCATCTACACCCGTAGTCAAATTAACATGCTCACTATGCTCATTTTTCTTAGATTTCGGACAGTCTCTTATGAAATGACCAGATTCGTGACAATAATAGCAACGCCTCGAACTAGACCTAGACTTAGATCTATGTCGTCTACTATTATTTTCTCTACCCCTCACATGCATAACTTCCTCGGATTTTCTACCCTCACCCATCTGTTTTAAATCTAATTCCTTACTCTTAAGACCATTAACCACAATGTCAAGAGTCACATTATCTCTACCATACTTAATAGCAGATTTCACATCACTAAAGGAATCAGGAATAGCATTTAAAAGAGCAATGGGAGAATAATCATCTATATGCTTATCACCACACAACTTAATATCCGAAATAAGTTTGGTAAAAACATCTAGATTTTCTTCAATATCTATAGACATATCTAGTCTAAATTTGAAGAATTTCTCAAGTAAAAATATCCGGTTAGGCAAAGAGGTCTCAGTATACAGTTCATTCAATTTATCCCACAGAATTTTAGCACTCTCTAAAATTCCAACTTTTCTAATCACAGAGTCAGATAAGTTCAAATAAATCACAGAACATGCATTTTCATTCATTTCAGCCCTTTTCTCTTCCGTGTCAGAAATTAAATAGGTTTCGCCAACTGCTTTAAAACATTTTTGTTGTATTAAAATACATTTAATTTTTTGCTTCCAAATGCTAAAATCAGATTTTTCCATTAAATGGAGCCATACCATACTGATTATAAGCAGACATTTTCACAGAGAAAAAACAAGCAACAAAATAAAATGTAAATTTAGCTGAAAAAAATTTAAATATTTATAAGGCTACAACTATACGGAGCAACTAGCACGAACACGTGGGGAGTATTAATGAGCACCAAACTCAACTTCAAACCCCTTGTTCTTCCGCATAAGCACAAATAAATAATAAATTTTCAGCACAACACAATACAACAATTCAAACAATTTTTAACAGCAGTAATAAACCTAAAATATAATTTCTACACAATAAAAGATTAAATCACTACAAAAGCGATAAAAAAGGGATAAAAGTCAATATACCGGAGCGAAACCCTAGGAGAGGCGTTTCGACCTTACCCACCCAATTAAAATTGGGATTTTTGGACTGTTGGCTGACTTTGACTGCCTTTTGACCAGCTTTGACCGAGTTTTTCCTCTGCTCTAGGTCCAGCCCTTAAGCTTCAAGGTCCTGCCTCCGTTGACCAGTCCAAGGATTGAGCAGCCTATTTTGAGTTGATTGCCGGCGTTCCAGCAAAACAAACAGCCTCAGAGACCAGTCCGGCCCAACAGAGCTGCGGCCCAAAAGATCCAGCAAGGTCCCTGCGTTCAAAGCACTCCACTAGTCCACTGCAGTCAAAATCGCATCTGTGAGCAGCGAACCATCCCTGCCTCTGCAACGGTGCGGCCTTTCTCTTCCCCGGTCGATGAATGGCTCCTGACCGCGAACCAAACGACGACGGTGGGCGGCGATTCCAGCGAAACTCAGCCTCCAGCCACCTGCGTTAACCCCTGCGGCCAGACCTCTGTTTCAAGCTTCCAGCAACCCAGCGACGGACGAGCTCAATGACCGAGCGTCGAGCGGAAAAACTACGGAGGGCACCAGCGACTTCGAGGGTGAACGGTGACTCCCTAGCGATGAGTGGACAGAGAAATGGACAGCCGGCGAAGTTCACGACCTCCAGTCGACGGCGAAGCTTTCAGGCGACGGCGAGCTTCCCTGCGGCGGCGTAGATCCAGCGCACCAATCCTCCAGACTTCCAGCGATTTGAGAAGCACCTAGCTTCCAGGCGATCTCCCAGAGACCTCCACAGATGGCGAATCGACGACAGCGACTTCGAATGACGGCGGCGGACAGCGGCGGACGGAGGCGGACGGCAACCAGGCTCTGATACCACTGTTGGGTGTGTATTTCAGCTCAGGTCTCCAACCAGAACAACTCACACACACCACCCCAGGATTGTTTAGCCACTCCACCACTCACCAAATTTAGCCACACTCTTTTTCACCTCTCAAGCTCACACAGAGGACAAGGGAAGAAGAAGGACTATACTCTAACTCTCTCTGGTTACTCACACAAAGGAGGAGATACACTCTCAATAGCTATTGCCCACTAGTTTTACGCCTCACTCACACAAAGGAGGAAGTCAACTCTCTCATACTCACTGGCCACAATTATATGGAGCTCAAAAAAGATGCTTTCCTAATCAAGTGAGTCACATGTCTAAGAAAGACAAAACAAGGGGAGCCCAAACAAAGGCAGAAGATAGAATAGCAACGGGCAGAACAATAACAAGGCCATGTGATTAGGTAGTGAACAAACCAAGAGGAAATAATAGGAGTATGGCTAAACTTAGGGTGCAGGCCTTAACACGAATAAGTGGAAGGGAGGCCTTGGCAGGACCAATACCTCCAACAGTGGACACAGTCACAGAGCATTTTGCAAATGAAGTTGCAGGCCATGGCAGGTGCAGAAGAACCTTGCGAGCAGAAAAAGAAACAATCAATGAAAAAGAAACGGGTAAAACTTGGAAAGGATAAACCAAAAAATAAAAAAACATAGGCAGTCAACGTAAGCTATGAACCGGGGAAATTGTTGTTTACCGGTTAAATCGTTGAATTGAACATTTTATAAGAGTTGGAGGATACAATTGAATGATTTTAAAGTACAAGGACTCAATTGACGTTTTTGATATAGTAAGAGGACCTATTTGATAGTTTTCCCTTTTTAAAACTACTAGATTGTAGTCTTTTTAATACTTCCTCCGTTCTTAAATAATCGCAACACATTCCTTTTTGGGCAGTTCTAAATTAATTGCAGCCTTTCCATTTTGGGTAAAAAGTACTCCATCCGTCCCTTATAACTTTGCCAACTTTCCTTTTTTGGATGTCCCATTAACTTTGCCACTTTCCCATTTAAGTAAAGAATTTGTGGTTCCAGTTAATTCTCTCTCCTCTGCACAAACCTCAACCACACAGTTTTTACTTTATTAATCCCCGTGCCGGTCAAACTTGGCAAAGTTATTAGGGACGGAGGGAGTAACATGGAAAGTGACTTTAATACCCTCAACTTACTTACCCCCACTCGATACTCCCAGTTCTCTTACTCCGTATTCACTGACCCAGATAGATATACTCACTACATATCTGTCTTCTTCTTCTCCGGCTTTCCTCCGATGGTAGCTCCATCAATCAAGTTTCTTCTTCCGTTTATTACCACAATCTTTTCTCCTTTCCCCCCTCATCATTTCCTTCCTTTCTACATCAATACTTTACTTTTTTGTTTCGTGTTCGAAAAATAGAGATCTGGTCTTATAAGGTTTGAACGACGAAGCTAGACACAAATCTTTTTGTTTCTCTTGGTCTCCCTCAAGATATGACCATCAAGTTCATCATTGAATCAACCATATCTACATGATAATCTTTTTCTTGAAATTTTTTTGTCAAAGCAATTTATGGAGAAAGAGGATTCCACAAGAAATAATTTAATTTTCTATTTTTATGTTTTTTTTTTTTCAGCTAACCACTTTTCATCTAATAATCTGGTGATAAATTAATGTTTTGTCCATGTTTTTCGTATCTTAACGATCTATGATTGATTTTAGTTTCTAATTCTGGGTTTTATTTTCTTCTCGTTATTCGTTTGAGATTTATGGTTTATGAATTTTTGTTTTAAGTTTCTCTGGTAATTTTTACTCAACACAAATAATTGAAGGTGTTGATTATTTTTATTTTTATGAATCAAAGAATAAGCGATGTATGGTTACCAACGAAACACTGTAGCAAGTATTTACCCGTCCTTGGAGTCACCAAGGATATAAAGGGAAAACACAAGTTAGTGGGGGTGGTTCTTAATTTCTGTGCCGAACCTCACTGTTGCAACTATATCCGAACGGAGGAAGTACTTTTTAGGAAGCAGAAAAAGATATTAAGGTATATGAGTGAAATAGCAGAAGTACTTCTGAGTACTCCATATTGTTCCTAGAAACATTTTTTTAAAAGTTAAAAAGACTAGCTTATAAAAAAATGATTTTGCTTCTGTTTCTCTTTTAATAAAGAAGGAAAAGCGGAATCAATTTGTAATTTAACGTCATTTGCAATTTGATAGAAGTACTCCCTCCGTAACTTAAAAATCTTCTCACTTTCCTTTTTCGTCCATAACACAAAAATCTTCCCATTTCTAAATCTTCCCATCATACCCTCAATAATTCTTAAAATAATACACTATTACAACTACTTTTTTTGGATTTATCCTACATTCCACCACATTATTCCACTATTTTCCCATCATACCCTCAATAATTCATATCATCTTTCACTATTCTTAACTACCTACTTTTGAAATGGGAAGATTTTAAAGATAGCGAGGGAGTATTTGACAATATGAATAGATTACTTTATGTGAGGTTTGTTGTTTTTTTTATTTGTGATTAATTGATTTTGTCATTTTGTCATGTAATACAGTACTACTGCGGCAGTGGGGTTGTTGTGCCGTGTCAATAAATATTACTCGGTACTTGTATTTTGTTACTTCTAGTTTATTTACTATTTCCAACTCATCTTCAATACGAAGTAATGAAGTATTACACACAAAAAAAACTCATCTTCAATATCTTATTTTTGTTTATAGTATTTAAATGCTTCAAATAAACATTTTATCAAATTAATTTTGTTGTTTATTTTTTGTAAAGTAAAGCTTATTAATTAGAAAATAAATTTCAAAAAGAAACTTAACTGTCATTTTGAGCCCCAGGCCATCATTGAAAAAATTCATTATTAAAGTTACATTTAGTGTAAGAATTGAAAAAGGAAATTCATAAAATAGAACTAAAATATAGACAAAATTTGAAAATACAATTAAATATATTTTCTTCACAAAATATGACTTATTTACTTCTATTAAAAGAGTAAATAATAAAAACTTTCCGAACTAGGAATTAATGTGTTATAATTAGGGAGAAAAATAATAGCATTCACATTTTCAGAATTATGTTACGAGTATTTTTTACCCTTACTAAGGTATTTTTTTAAAAATACTACGTATTATACAAATAAAACAACCGTGGGACACACCCCAATATTTACATCTAACTATGACACTCATTAAAAGTGATTTGTGTTTTTGTAGATTTCTTAAATTCATTTGTATGAACTTATGTGGTGGTGAAATTTAGAGCCCGTTTGGTAGCACCAAAATCGGCTGTTTTGGCTGATTCTGCTGAAATTTATGATATTCTGGCTGGAGTGGCTGTTTTGGCTGATTCTGCTGATTTAAGAAAAAAATATTTTAAAAACATATTTTATTAATAAATTAAAGAAAAAATTATATGTAAAAATAGCTAAAATGGTCCTCTACAGTAACTTCAGCCAATACAGCCAGAAAAGTAACTCCAACCTTACTTTTTCGGCTTATTACACAATTCAGCGCGCGAAAGTAAAAGTTACGTGTTTGGTGAAAAGCTGGTTGATAAGCCTGATAAGCCTGATAAGCCGAAAACAGAGTTCTCCAAACGGGCTCTTATACGAGCATCCCATATTACTGTTTTAATAGTTTATGGATTTTTAGAAACGCTTAAAAAACTATTCTTTTAGTAGCTAAGCAAGTGTATGTGTACTCATATTGATATAAGCAACATTGATGGTGCATCCCCTATCACCACAATAATTGTTGTATATTCATAAGTTTTTCGGAATATGTTTTTGTGTTATAATGTCGGTAGCTTTTTTATATTTAAGAGCTTATTGGTTTTTTTTTTATTATCATAAGATACAAGTATTTCATTTTTTATACTTCTTTTTTATTTTAAAATTTGATACATTTTCCTTTTTGAGATACATTTTTAACTTTGTGACATTTTTTTCTATTTGGTAAATTTTCCTCTTAAGAATACTTAATTATCTTTACTTTTTTACTTTTATCTTCTATTTATTAATATTACACATTTCTCCTATTTTTCTACACTCATTACCCCTACTACTTTCCTCCATACATAATGGAGTATATCATAATTAAAATACAAAAATACTTTTGTCCCGTACATCGCAGAGGTACAATACTAGTTTTTTTAAAGCCTATGAATGTTTTTCAATTGGTGCATGAACATCACACTAAAATAATACTAGTACTACATACTAAATGTGAAATCAAATAACAAATCATGCGTGCATTAGTGTTTTGAAACCCTCATTCTTATTACTCAACAAAATATTAGTACACATATTCTTTTTTATATACTCGTACTGTCGTACATAATGTCATCTAGCTTTATACGAAATTCACATCTTCTATTGATAATTACTTTTTAATCCATATCAAAGTCGCACTACCATGACCCTGGTGTTACACTAGCTTTGTTTCTTTTTTACCCCGGGGGTCGGGGGGCTGGGGAGTCTTAAGTAAACTGATAACGAACTTAAACCATTGAGCAATGAACTCAGAACGAGAGTGAGTTGACGATCATCAGAGTTAGGCTGTTTTTTCAGCACTAGCTTAGTTACAGGGCCGGCCCGTACATATTAAGGGCCCTGTTCAAAATGTAATTGGAGGCCCTAAATCATAAAATGTACAAAGTAAAATTAAAACAAGCATTAAGGAAGGTGTGAGAATAATTTGTGATAAACTTATATTATTTCATTTTCCTAACAAACGAAACATCATACCTCCCAAAAACATATTTGCCGTGCTTATGAAAAAGAGTAGGGCTACTCGAGAAGATTAAAGACGTGAAAACAGAGTATACCGAACATATGCCCATGAAGAAGTAAAGAACATGATAGTACCTTACATACATAGTTGGAAAAAATATTGAGGTGTGAAACTGTGCAAAGCTAAACTTTGAAAGGGCGAACTTATCCTTCTGCTCCACTTCAGATTCAGATTTCAGCAGAATTCTTAGGAAATTATTTGATAAAAACTGTTTGGAGAAACAGATCTAGTAGAACGGATTTGATAAAGAAATTAATATAGCATAAATTGGTCGAGTCACTTGGTTGCCAATAAAAATTTTGAATTTTGTAAATTGTATGTTTTACGAGGAGTCACGATTGAAAGATGAGCCGCATCGTTCATTCTTCCGCATTGTAAGAGGCATTGTCGCCAAGCTCAAAGATTAAATACTCCTATTCCAGTCGTTTTTTGCTCCAACTAATAGCATTAACTACTAACATAGGCATCACTCTGAATTAAAATTGGGAAAATTGGGGGCCCTCCGTTAGTGGAGGCCCTGTTCCACTGCACCACTTGCACAGTTGCACTCCCTTAGGCCGGGCCTGCTTAGTTATATGATGGCAATGATGCAAATAAATTTGGAGAAATTTGTGATTACCAATCAACCCATAACAATATATACGCGCAATACCGTATTTGACAAACCCAAACACCCAAAAATAAATCCAGCAAATGACGACCCTATATACTCCGTAGTATATATGCTCAAACCGGTCGTTAATTAAAGCTTAGAAAATCAAGTTAAAAACTAAAGGAATAAATTGGCTAACGGAATAAATTGACTAACGGAATAAATTGACGGGATGTTAAAAGATATTTGGAAATTTAGCTATTTGGCCGTAAAATTAGTAGAAAACGCCGTTTTTTGAAACGCTAATT